ACTATCACACTTACAATTCATTAGCTAAGAGCGCTCGAATGAATATAAATATGTGAGAAAAGTCCCAAAATAGTCTAGACCATTTACATGAGGCTGCTTTAGTCTAAGAGTTTATAGAAGTGTCAAAATATTTCCTGATTACTTTAAAATTAAGCTCTAATAGTTCTCTAGGGATACTATTTCAGCCCCAATTTAAAAAGACTTGGGAGTATTTCGCCATTTTTATAAAGTCGGGGACTAAAATGGATACATGTAAGTAGTCAAGACTATTTTAGCACTTCATTCTAAATTATTAAAACATGAGAAAATCAGAAATAATAATCTGCAGCATGATTTCTGTACAGGTTGACACTGCAACTCTTCCATATGATATTGCTCTCTAGAGGGTATAATGTGCTACAGTGTGTTAATCTTAGATCCCTGCAAGATAATTGCTATTGTAAGACTGAACAAAGAGACAAAATGAGAAAAAAATTAAGCAAAAAAATCCAAACCTTTGTATTTTTTTTAATATATAAATTAGAACTTCCCAATATGATGTTGATGATGCTTCTTTCTTCTAGAGTTTGAAAAGGAGCTGAATTTAGAGCATGTCTTCTTGAGCTTTGCTGCCTGAGACTTTACTGCCTTCCTTCCAGCCATTTCAGCCATGTAATGCACCACAGCCTATTTCAATTACAGCACACAAAATTTCATAATTGCATGCATAGAACTTTGGTGGGATAAAGTTTTTTTACTCAAAAAAGCAAAATTTATATCAAGATTTACCTGTGCTCCCATATTGGCAACATGCCTGGGAGGAACCTCTAAAGGATTCTCTTCCATTTGAAGCACGCACAGCTGCGTCAACATTCCGAACGAATCCGGCAGCACTTTGATCTGATTGTTACTAATATCCAATTCCTCCAACACCTCAAGGTTGCCAATGGCCCTCGGCAACAACTGGAGATCAGCAAAGTTATTGGATACATTCAGCCTCACAAGTGTTGTCACAAGGCACAAACTCTCTGGGATGGATTCGAGCTCGTTGAAGCTGGCATCGACCTCCTTAAGCTTTGAGAGTGAAGCTATCGTGGTGGGAAAGCCCTTGATGTTGTTATATCTCACCGAAAGGATTTCGAGAGACGAAAGCCTTCCAATTGCTTCAGGAAGGCATTTGAGGCAATTGTAGTCAGCCCGAAGCTCTGCGAGTGAGTTGCAGTTGCCAATTGTGTGAGGGAGCTCCTCAATGTTGTTTGCCTCCATGTTTAGCTTCTTTAAGTTGATGAGATGACCAACTGAATCTGGGAGAAAGGAGAGCCTATTGGAGCTGAGGTCAAGTTCTGCTAAATTTACTAGTTTTCCAATGGTGGGGGGAAGGGAAGTGAGCTGGTTGCCTCTCAGGTTCAGGTGGCATAGGCTGAGGAGGTCGCCGATGGACTTGGGGAGCTCGGTTATCTGATTTGCTCGAACGTCGAGAGTTCGTAGCAAGGAAAGGGATCCGACTGAGGTTGGAATGGAATGTATGCTGTTTTCAGAGAGATTCAAAATGGTAAGAAATGAGAGCTTTCCTATTGAGCTTGGCAGCCAGTCCACATCATCCATCAGCCTGTTCTGAAGATTCAGTTCTCTGGTACCTTTCTTCAAAGCAAGTTCAATCAGGCTTGCCAGTTTGATTAAGCTTAGTTTCTCATGCTCATCAACTGCAGATTCAGCATCAGAGAAATAAATAGAAATCATAAGTATATGCAGAATGATATTTAGTTGTTGCTATATATAACATGCTTTAATAGGTCAGAACTGAAGAGCTAAGAAAAAGGCTGCATTTCAACCATTTATTATAACATAATTTAATAAAATATTATACAAAGTAGCCCAATTTAGTATGATTGGATAAAATATTACATGTATTTGATTGTTTTGTATTTTTAAAGGGATATGGAATTGTGGAGTTATTAGAATTATTATTTTGCTATATTAATATTATTACATGGAACTTAAATTTATAATAGGAATCTATATCATTTATTAGTATAATTTATGCTCATTATTAGGGATATTCTCTTTTTTTT